TCTGACGTGGCTGATCGCCACTAATGGTGTTCAAAACAGCTGATACGGCCACCTTAGTTCAAAAGATTTATTGGACAACAAATTACAAGTATTCAGAAATCATTTAAACAAGATACATTGTATGCATACAAGGGGCATTTTACCGAACCGACCTTCAACAGATGAGTCTCCAAGCAAATGCACAGATCTGCAGCCTCTGTCCCTGGATCTTATCACAGATTTTAGCAGGCTCTGCCTCTGATTGGTTTAAACAACCCGTTGTCATGGTTACGGGGCTCTTCTGCTTTGCTAGATATGCCCTTGAGGTTACATACCATAGATAAAGAATTTTATTGCTCTTTGTTAGTCAAACGCTGGTGTTTTTTCTGTGAAGATTCTCTCCTCTAAACTGATAACAATTGTTAAACGATTAAATGCTACTTTCTATTATCTTACTAATTTTATTTAGTCAAACTATATTAAGTCTAAGTTAGAGAAATGTGTTCTAGAGTCTTTTATGTTCATCAGTCTGTGTGTGTGTGTGTGTGTGTGTGTGAGCGTCCATACTCGGAGACACTTCCCTGGAGTCTAATCAGTATCTTACCTGCTCTGAGACGCTTGTAATTATATCAAAATGTGAACTTATAAGATTGTGAATTTATAAGATTGTCTCTAGCTAATGTAAGATTATATTTAAGCAAAGTAATTGATTAATATTTAAATGATTGTAAGGTAGTGAAAACCCTTCAAAAAATGACACATACACACATTTTATAACGAAATTTCAAGCTTGATTAAAATAATAAAAGATAAAACGTGAAATCCAACACAACAATAGGAGAAACTGGAGACCCCATAGCACACCCATGTTTCTGCCTATAATATTGCTCCCCATATGTGAAGTAGGTTGACTGCAGGCACAGTTTCAAGAGTTGACACAGTTGTTCTGTGGAAAGCGTGGTCCTGCTGTTCAGCGTGGTGTCTGATTTTAATTTTAAACTGACCACCTCTACTGCATCATCAACAGGAATGCACGTAAAGAGTGATGTGACATCAAAAGAGACCATTGTTTCATCAGTCTCCATGATGACATCCCTCACCTTGTCCACAAAGTCCATGGTCTTCTGTATGTGGTGTTCTGAGCTGCCAACTAAAGGGATGAGTACAGACGCCAGATATTTGGAAACATTGTAAGTGACAGAGTTAATCATACTAACAATTGGTCTTAAAGGTACACCTTGTTTGTGGATTTTAGGTAAACCATACAGACTAGGTGTGGCCTCCCCTGGGTACAGTCTGTGGTACAGAAAATGGTCAATAGCCTTGTCCTGCTCCAAAATTTTCAGGCAATCTATTAACTTCTTCTTGTAACCACTTCCTGGATCTCTTTTCAGAGGTTCATAAGTGGTTAAGTCACTAAGGAGTGTCATAACCTTCTCATGATAGTCTTTCTGGTTCAAAATCACTGTGCACCTTCCTTTGTCTGCTGGGAGAATGATGATGTTTTTGTCCTTGCTAAGAGTGGTGAGTGCATCCCTCTCCTCTCTACTGATGTTGGAAGGTGGTGGTTTGGCATTGCTGAGGCAGGATGAAACTTTGATTCTGAGCTGTTCTGCTTCAGCCTCTTTAATTTTGTTGTTGCGGATGGCTGACTCAGTAGCTGTGATCATCTCCACCAGAGGAATTCTACTTGGTGCAACCGCAAAGTTCAGTCCCCTGGCAAGAATCTCTGTCTCTGGCTGGGTGAGCTGTCTGTCAGATAAATTCTTCACCCACTTTTCTGTCTCCCTGGCATGTAATTGACTACTGGAGTGTTGTCCTACACTGAATGTGTTGTTATTGGAATAGTGATGTTGTTGATGAGTTATTAGTACATTAAACTTGTTTTGTTGTCGAGTCTTGGACTTGACATGCTGTGCTAAGCGTGCCTGATCTGTACAGTCCATCACTTGCTGAAGTGTGGTCTGATCTAGACACATAGTTAGTTTCTGTTTAATGTGCTCTTCTTTGGCCTTCAAGGCCTCAATAGTAAAATTGGTCTGTCTCACCCGTTCATTCAGCAGCTGGGTTTGTGCCTTCTGAAGGATCTTGCTTGCCCGGTGCCCGCTGACCGAAGATTTTAGTTCCAGGCTCTTGGGAATGAACAGCCATCAGTGTGCTAATGATCCATTGTTAGGCTGATGGTCCTTCTTGAGCATGTGATCAGCTGGTTTTGGTTGTCAGCAGCAAAACTGGTTGATCCACTCTGAGAATGTGCTATTTAAGAGACTGAGCTGAATACAGCACCTCAGACTGAGGAAGTCTCTCGGATGAGAGACGAAACGTTTCTACATTTTTTTACATTTTCTTGTTGATTTGCTTTTTTTTTTTTTTTTAATATCCAGAAGACCAGATTTAACTTTTTTAGATTTTTCTACCTGGATTATTGAGCATGCATCAGGATATTTTGAACCACTTTGGCCAGGATTGCCTCAAACTAGTTAGAGAGTTTGAGAAAACAGCAAGGAAGAGGGCAGACTACAGGAACCATTTGCGATTCAACCTCAGATGTCGACAAAGTGGCATCATTCCCAAGAGCTGGACTATGCTACGACCTTCCCTTAAAATTCAATGCCTTCACCGGCCTATATGTATCATGTCTATTTATGTTGCTTTGCTGTGGTAGGTTTTTTGATGCCTCAAACCGTGCCCTGTCTAGGACAAGGTGATATATATATATATATTATACCTTCTCTCTTCATGTTTTCTTCCCTTTTCTCATCCAAGCAAAAATATTATTCTGAATAAGAATAAGAGGGCCGTGCTAATTAGCAGCAGCTTTGTGCACTCTGTCCATCTTTCGGACGGCTGTACGTAAATGTTCTCGTTGTATCTCGGTGCAATGACAATAAAGCTTATTCTGATTCTGAACTGGAACCTCCTGACTATGAAACCTACCTCCACAAACTCTGCAGTGAGTTTGAAGGCAGACGTCTCAAAGCCAAGGTTCCTTGGAGAACTGGACAGGATGAACCCAAAGTCGATGTGGATTATGTGTCCCTCAGCATCCAACAAGATGTTCCCATTGTGCCTGACAAAACAGAGGACAGAAATTAGACGGAACCAAACCAGGTTAGTCTGAGCATGTGCGCAGCAGGAGTGTCCTACCTGTCTTTGACCTGCAGAAGGTAGCAGATTAGGCTGTACCCAGCACAGCTCTGGACGAAGTTCCTCTGGGCCGTCAGGAAGGCCTCAGTGGTCGGAGCACCGTGTTCCTGCAGGAAGTAGTCGAGCAGCGACAGCTGGCTCTGCTTCTTAACCTGGTGGAGCGACACGGCGTTCACCACGGGTTCGATCATCCCGCTGTCCGCCGACAAAACCAGGATTTTATAGGGTTTGATCCAGAGAGGGACACGTTCCTGTTCCCAGATAGACTGCAGGACAGAGACAGGTCAGAGGTCACAGGTCCAAAAGTAACAACTAGAGTGTAGAACATCCTGACGCATCCTCAATAATCCATCCATTAATCATCTTCCGCTTATTTCAAAGTCAGGTTGCGAGGGCAGCAGCTTGAGCAGGGAAACCCAGACATCTCTTTCCACAGCCACCTCTTCTAGCTCTTCTGGGGGTACCCCAAGGCGTTCCCAGGCCAACTGAGAGACATAGTCTCTCCAGTGTGTCCTGGGTCTTCCCTGGGGTGTTATCCCAGTTGGATATGCCCGAAGCACCTCCCTAGGGAGGAGTCCAGGAGGCATCCTTACCAGATGCCCAAACCACCTCAACTGGCTCCTTTTGATGTGGAGGAGCAGCGGTTCTAGTCTAAGTCTCTCTCGGATAACTGAACTTCTCACCCTATCTCAAAGGGAGAGTCCAGTTACCCTGCGGAGAAACTCATTTCAACCGCCTGTATCCTCGATCTCATTTTTTCGGTCACTACCCAGAGCTTGTGACCATAGGTGAAGGTTGGAACATTGACTGGTAAACAAAGAGCTTTGCTATAAAGCTCAGCTCCCTCTTCACTACAACGGGCCGGTACAAAGTCTGCAACACTGCAGACACTGCACCATTCCGTCTGCCAATCTCACACTCCATTCTTCCCTCACTCGTGACCAAAATCCCAAGATACTTGAACTCTTCTACTTGAGACAGAACCTCACCCTCGACCTGAAGAGAACAATCCGCCATTTTCTGGTTCAAGACCATCCATCCATCATCTTCCGCTTATTCCGAAGTCGGGTCACGGGGGCAGCAGCTTGAGCAGGGAGGACCAAACATCTCTTTCCACAGCCACATCTTCCAGCTCTTGTGGGAGGATTCCAAGGCGTTCCCAGGCCAACCGAGAGACAGTCTCTCCAGCATGTCCTGGGTTTTCCCTGGGGTCTCCTCCCAGTTGGACATGCCCGAAGCACCTCCCCAGGGAGGTGCCCAGGGGGCATCCTTACCAGATGCCCGAACCACCTCAACTGGCTCCTCTCAACATGAAGGAGTAGCGGTTCTACTCCAAGTCACTCCTGGATAACTTAACTTCTCACCCTATCTTTAAGGGAGAGTCCAGTTACCCTGCAGAGAAAACTCATTTCAACCGCCTGTATCAACGACCTCATTCTTTCAGTCACTACCCAGAGCTCATGACCATAGGTGAGGGTAGGAACGTAGACTGACTGGTAAACAGAGAGCTTTGCCTTAAAGCTCAGCTCTTTCTTCACCACAACGGACAGGTACAGAGTCTGCAATACTGCAGATGCTGCACTAATCCATCTGTCAATCTTAGAACCTTGAGACAGTGATCCACGCCTTCATAACGTCTAGGCTTGATTACTGCAATTCACTTCTGTTTAGAATCAGTCAGTCCTCCATTGCACGTCTACAACTGGTCCAAAATGCGGCAGCCCGATTTTTAACTGGTACAGGCTATAGAGAGCACATCACGCCAGTTTTGGCCTCCCTGCACTGGCTACCCATTCACTTTCGGAACCAATTCAAAATTCTCATGTATGTTTTTAAATCACTGAACAGTTCCGCCCCATCCTATCGCACTGATCTTCTGCAGCCATATGTCCCACCGCGCTCTCTGAGGTCAGCAGACCAGATGCTTCTCTCAGTCCCAGAAACCCGTTGTAAGCTCAGAGGCGACAGGGCTTTCTCTGTTGCAGGTCCACAACTGTGGAATGAGTTGTCACTGAGTGTCCGGCAGGCTCCCACACTCTCAGTCTTTAAGTCTCGCTTGAAGACCCACTTCTATTCTCTTGCCTTTAACATGGTGTGATTTGTTTTGGTCCTGTCTGTACTCTACACTGTTGGCCATTTTAGTTAGCTTCTGCTGCTATTTGTATCTGTATTT